ATTAATAATATATATACACCACTTTTAACATATCAAGACTTTAATTCAGTCTAGATCAATTTCACTGGCGGGCGATCTAAAAAAGATATCATACTACTCTAGTTATCACTATAGGAAGGAACAATATTTGTAACCAAATAATAACCAAAAAACATTTTATAGTTTATTTTTGGTTTTAATGTAAAGTGGTAGATTGAATGCTTCTATAGATAAAGTTTTAGTCTTAGCCCTAATTTAATTTTGGATAAAGGTGTGGTTAGAACATAAGTGAGATTTGAAATCTTGGGTTTAAATTAAGCGATATAGAAAATGATTTTATACTGACTAGGTCAAAAGAGGCACTAAATCAAAAATTGTATAATTTCAACTCTTGAGTCTAAATAAATTCCTTTAAAACAGCTTCTTGTGTTTCCCTTAGCTTAATCAGAAAGAAGATTTTTCTCAGTTCCAATGATATAGCAATTAATTAATTATATCTAATAACCTAACAACTCTATTGTTATCCCCTATAAAATTGATTTTTGGTAGATAATTATAAAAATATGTTAAAAACTGATTAGATAGACATCTTAATAGTAGAGGCAGTGGGTTGGATACCATGATACCATGGTTAGCCGGTACTGTCTCTTTTACCTAAAGTATAAACAATGATGCTTGAATTTTTACATAATATATATTGCATTTAAGAAAAATATGAACTTAGGATTTCGACATTTTTAAAAGCTAGTCATGATAACATTTGGTTTTAATGATTGTAAATTAAAGTCATGCAAGTCTACCCGTCTACCCGGCTCTGCCTGTGGCCCGAAAAAATATTATATTACTTCCTTTTCTTTTTCCTGAGTGAATATCACAAATATAAAATAAATTTAAAAAATAAGATAAGTTTTAAAAAAAATTAGGAATGGAGATTTACTATCCATTTTCTTATAATATTGTTTAATAAATAAAATAAAAATTCATTAATTATCAGTTATTGTGAATATTTAAATTTAATGCATAACATTAAAATTGAAAAAAAAATATTTTGAGTTTGAGATTTCTTCTTTATAAGCAATTGACTAAAATAATTATTTCTTGAGCAACCCGGTCAAAAGTAAAAAGGGCCGGGAAAGTTGTACATAGAAATTTTGACCGGTCTATTAGATAAAAAACACTGAGCTGGGCTTGACAATTTATTTATAAAAAATCAATCAGGCAGAGTATGGCAAAATCTCTGATTTTTCGTAAACAAAATTTTAATACAGTCCGAGCCTTAAAATTTGATATATTTTTGAATTTCTAGCTAATATTCTAATTAGAATACTAAATCTATAAAAAAAATAAACAAGAAATTAAACCAGTTATTTATGATATGATCCAATAACAAATACAAAATATATAAAACGATTGTTATAGAGATAAATAGAAACAGAGGAGAGATATAAGAGATTTAATTAACATTGGAAAAAAATTAGATATAGATTTTAAATATGTGGCTGGAAAATTGGTTAGAAAAATTTGGGCTGTGACAAACTTTTAGTAAAAAAAATGATCTTTCTATAATTTCGGGCTAGGCAAAAAATTTAACGTGCTGATAATGATATGCGGAGCTTGACACTAGAAAATAAAAACTCTTTTCAATGAAAATTACTCCCCATCAGATAAGTTAAATATATAATATACAAAATAGAATTGTGCTTTTTAATGACAGTTATGGGTCAGAGAGTTTAGAGATATGGATGATATCAAGAAGAGCATAGAATGTCGATGGTTAGATTCCCGGTTTGCCACTACTCGAGCAGATAGCTAAGAGTTAGAATAATGATAAGATTGGAAAAATAAAAAATATGGAATAGAGCTAATACATATTTTTAAAAAAGGTAAATAAAATTTAGTCACTGTTTAGCAATTAGTAAATAACAACCTAAACCATAAATATTATTACACTTGAATATGAACTACATATTTTAAAAAAATTTAGAATTCGGCCCTCACATTAATTCTGAAAATAGGTTAAGTTTAAAAATGTCCATTTAAACTGGGTTCAGATTTCCGGGCTCGAATTAAAGCTCGGGTTTTGCGCACATCTTGATTTTAAGTATATAAATATATTATATATAGTGCAAGCAAAAAGAAAAAATATCGATTTTAATTTTGATATTACAATATATTAGAATGTTATATTTTAATAATTATCGACAATTATTTTTTTTAAACTACACTCTAACCTTGACCAATATATTGCGTTAGTTATTTATATCGAAATTTAACTAACTTGCTTCATTAAATTTAGGAATCCATATATGTGCATTACATTTATAATAATAAAAATCTTCTATATAGATTAAAATTTATTTGTTAAAATAATTTTAATTTTAAGGAAGGAAGAAAGGAAGGAAGGAATTGTGTAAAATAAGACAAAACATCTTCTAAGCTGCAAATATTATAAAAGGTTATTTCTAATTATTCAAAAAAACATATTGATAAAAGTTATTTTTACATTAATAAATTTTTTCAATAAAAATATGGTCCTAACATTTTTGTAAAAATTTGATATAAATTCCAACAATAATTTTGAAAAACTGCTAATTCAGTTAAGGATTAATATTATTGTTAATTTATTATTTTTACAGAATTTTTTTATTCGAAAAGTTTTTATATGATATTACACCAAGTAAAAAAAAATGGGAGGGTGTATATTTATTATTTTTTACCTTAAGAGAAAATTTTTCAAAAAATATTGTATAATTGGAAATTTTTAGGAATAAAGATATTTCTTGACCATATGATCCCACCCTCTTAACATCTTTAAAAAAAAGTGTAGCGAAAAATATAATAAATACGGAAAAGGAAAAGGAAGGAAATGAAATTAATAAAGTCAAAAAAGAGTGCAAATAGAATGAAAAAATGCAGAAGGATGAAAAAATCTGTATAAATATTAATGCAATTTAACAGACCTTTTTATTGAAATAAATTTTCTTGTGTCTATATATTTAATCTGCTTTAAATATATCGATATGCACGTTTGAAATAATATACTAGTTTACAAATTATTGTGAAATGATGAAATTAGGTAATTTTAGGTTTACGGTAGGTAGATATTACTTTCAATTAAAAAAATTAGCATTTTCACTACTAAATTTGACTATCAAATTTTTGATTGGTTAGAAATCTCTGAAATAATTTTTCAAAGAGAGAATTATAAAATATTTAAGTTTTAATATTATTGATTAAAATATTTTTTGATATAATAGTAATACTTTTTGTTTTAATACATTATTAATTATATTTTATTTAACCCAGTGCATTTTATAATTTTCGCAATTTATAAATGGCGCAATCTTATAATTTCTTCGTAATATTTAACTCCTTGCCTTCTGCCAAACTAATTAATTATATGTCTTTAAAAAAAGTATCATTATATATAATGTAATAAGATTCATCACCTGATATAAAGTAATTGATAAAGTAATTTTTTAAATATATTAACTTACAGCTCAAGGGATGTAAGCAAATTTTAAATTCTAATTCCATAAACTGGAGGTCAGGGCCTGAACACTTCCAACTCAAAAACCCTTGTTACGCTACTGAGGTCAAGAATAAGGATTATGTGAGTGACATCTTTACCTCTTAGGAAGTTCTAAAATGTTAAGCTCTTTTTATTTAACCGCATACTTGAGCGAATGTTTAGCTCAATTAGAATTTTTTTTGCGGGATAAGATTATACTATATTAAAATTTTTAATTTGTCACCGATACCGTAAACAAAATGTAGCAGAAAAATTATCGTCTTTCGTCTATAAAATATTTTGACACGTCGCAATACTTTACAAATTTTGAAAAATTATATCGTTTAGTGATGACTCGCTAAAGTACGTCGAGTTCACTATAAACTATTATATTATACATTTATTTAATATTTATATAATGATAATTTAATGACATTATTTAATAACAATTATTTTTAAAAAGTAATTAATTTTTTGGTAAAATTATTATTTTATAATTTTTTGCTTCAACGAAATAAATAAAATTAAAAAAGGGGTGTTTTTTACATTTAAATATTAACAAAAAATTAAATGAAGGAAGGAAGCTAGAGCCTAATATATATTTTTAAAAAATCAATATTATTTTAATATGAAAGTTTGGTAAAAATAAAAATTTATTCTGGCAATAAAAAATGAATTAAAACAGGATTTGCCTAATTTCTCTTGTTTGAAATCATTATTTTCTTATCTTCTATGTAATATCATTTCAGGGAGTAAGGAAAAGAAGGGATGGGGAGAAAGTAGGAAGGAACTAGTCCAATAAGACTTGTGAGCAGCCTCTAGGTTTTAAGCAATTTAAATAAACAGTAATATAATTTTAAATAACATTCGCCATGGTTCTTAATATTCTGATTCATTTTTTTAAACCTATTTAATATCTAAACTAAAGAAAGACTATATTTTATATCAATTTTTGTAAACAAAAAAATTCATATTTTTGTATAATTTTTTTAAATTTTTTAGTAAATTGTTTTTTCTGAATACAAAAAAAGGAAAGTGAAAAAATCAATCATATTATTTAATTATCGACAAATCACAAAGAGATAAAATAAAAGATTACAAAATTAGTTGCTAGATAATTCCTATTCATTTTATCCTTATGAATTAGTAATAAAAAGATTTTTTAATAATAATAATATTATAAACTTTTATTTAACAAGTTTCGTTTATTAATAAAAATAAATAAATAAAATTTCGTCATAAAAAAAATAGTGAAGATTTTCAGTAAAAAATCTCAGGCATTCAAAATTCCCAAAAAATTCAAAGTTTGGATTATTGAAAGAGGGAAAACAGAATCAAAAAAATACTCTAATCTATTCTCATTCGCTATCCACACCCAGTTCACATTAACAAATGATAGATATCTTATCTAACAATTTTCATTTCATTTGATTCTTGAGAAGGATATAATATTTATCTTATTTAAATTACTTACCTCCAATTATTAAATTACTTACCATCAATTAGTTGTGGAATATTAACTTAATTCTACTTGAAAATCTATTCCCAGATTTTAAAAACTGAGTTGGGTGAATATATGAAGGATTCAAGTATTTTGGTTTACATATTACTTTTTATATTTCAAATAAAATATCAATAAATTTAATTCTTAAAATATTATAGTATGTCACAAATATATATTTGAAGTCGTCGTTGATCTATAACCAATTTATTTTGCCAGTTATTGTATTACTATCTTTAAAGCCAAATTACTTTAAACAAATTAAATTTAATAACTGACCCCTTAATATTTTGTTTTAAAAAAGTCATTTTTATAACATTAGATATAAAGGTTGTATAAATTACACAAGTGATATCTCAAGAAAAATATTTCGAATCCCACATTATTATATAGAACAGACAATGTCTAGTCTATATTGCACCCCTGGAAGAATTCATGTCTAAAAAGGAACGTAAAGAAAATATAAACATTATTAATAATAGTACAATAGTATCAAAAACAACTATTACCACTACTATAACTAGTACTAATAAAAGTAAATATAAGGAGAATGACGATTCATATTTAAAAAATACGATTCCTCCATCAACCTACCTTCATAGGAACAGCTCTGCATCTTTTACCAGGGGCAAAAATTCTTTGATTAGAAGGATTCCAGTATTTTCTAAGGTATAATATAAGCTATAATTGTTAATTTTCTTTTGTTTTCCTACTATTATATCGGATTTTTAAATTTAAACCTAGTAACTGTCCTTCCAAATAAATATAACCCCCTTTAGATCCTATAAAAAAATTTTCTTCACAAAAGAGATCACTAATTTTTTTAGTAGAGACAAATTAAAATTTTGGTTGATTAGTTTAGAAAAAAATTATAATTTGTTATATTAGTTCCAAAATATAAATTAAATGATATATCAAAATATTTATTTCAATTAACAATCTAAACCCAAAATAAGTTGGAGAAATGCAAAATATAAATAATTATCAATAAATTAAATTTGTGCATCATTAAAAAGGATACTTAGAATAGTTTGGGATGACCCTGGGAGAGACCTATTGAAATTAATTTATTTTTTTTATTAAAACTATTTATAAAATAATATAATATAAAAAACTATATTAAAATAACATTAAAAATATTAAATTTAAAAAAATTAAAAGTTTAAATTGCAAAATTCTGCTAAAAACTTAGACATTAATGATAATTTCTGAAAAGGTAATAATAATAATAATTGTTCAAAATGTTACGATGGCTCAAGATTTAGTTAAGATAATTCAGTAATGCATGTAATATCCTCGGCAGAAAAATATTCAGTTTTTACAATGAAGTAATTGCCTCAAAAATTTTTTTATTAAAATGTTTTAAAATATTTTTTTTAATATTAAAAATTATTTTTTTTTTAATTTAATTTTTTTTTTGTTTTGCGACATCCATCCATAATCAAGTGATCTCTAGTTTATGAATATAATAATAAGACCCCCCACCCCCTTTATTATTTAATTTAATATGTATATAGATGGAAATTTTGGTCGATGTTTAGTAAATTAGGTTGTTATCCGAGATTTCTTGTCATAAAATGATTTTTCCAATTTCAAAATATGCCCAAAAATATTAACCAAAAAAATACAAATGCTTAATTAAAAATTACCATCTCATAATATAAGAGATGATAAATGGGCAGATCACATTAGAAAAAGACATGGTGGGCTTAATTTTAACGATATGAAGAAAAGCTTTGTAATAGTAGCTTTTCTATATAACAATTTATAATACCCCAGAAAGAATGTGTGGACAATAACCGTTCTATTATAAGAATAATAATACGGTGTCTAGGTTATTTAATATCTCGTAACCAAGCCTTCTGGGGGAATAGGCAACAAGAAAGCAATATGATGGGCCTTAATAAACTAAGATTCCGAATCTGTTGTCAAAATGTATTTAAAACAAAATGAAGAAAGAAGAAGGGAGAATAAAAAATAAAGAATTAAAATTTAAATTATATTCAAATCTATCATCATATAATAACATAAATATTCTTATTGAAACCATAAAAAATATGATTATAAAAATAATTCAAAAGGAGATTGAATTTAACAGGTGCTTTTCTATCATAGTTGATGGCATTCTAAATCAGAAGCAATAGCTTTGTTAGTAAGATTTATTGAAAATAGTGAGACGCCTAACCCTGTTGAAAGACTGATAGACATATATTGTACAGGAAATACAACTGATCTTGATATTAAAAATAATATAATATCCAAACTTAGCTCCATGAATCTACCCCTCGAATTCCTAGTTGGGCAAAACTATGATGGTGCCCTAAACATGAGTGGAAGAATCAATGGAGTGCAGACTTTGATTAGCTCGGAGGCGTCAAAGGCAGCTTTTATTAGGTGCTATTGTCATCGAGTAAATTTAATCATTGTGCCAATCAATTAAAGAACTCAGAAATGTTTTAGGAATATTAAATAAGATTTTTGTATATTTTAATGGCGTTAAAAGATATGAGGCGCCCAAAGCATGTCAGAGTAATGTACTGACAAAATAGCAACGATTTCTACGCATTAAAAGTACCATTCACTAATATTATCTTATTTGTTTAGAGTTAAAATGTTAATTTTTATATTTATAGAGGCTGGCTATCATCATACAAAGCAATTGTAAATTTTTTTCTACTTTATGATGCCTTGAGGGCAGCTTTGATAAATTTAAAGGATTCTGAAGATCCTGCCACTTCCACTATGGCTAGCGCTATAGTCTTTAGAATAGAAAAATTTTATTTTATTTTATCACTTTGTGTTTTAGATAAAATATTGCTAATAACAAGCTTGGCTTGTACAAAATTGCAAACCATTTCGAAGGATATATGGTTTGCAATAAATCAAATTCAATTGGCAAAAGATTGCCTGATTAATTTGAGAAATATAATTTAAATTATTGTCTTTTATTATTTTTTAATCCTAATTGATAATAACACTGAATTTTTGGATGTTTTTTCAAAAGCACAAAATTTTATGAAGGAGAGAAATCTACCTTTTCATTTGAAAGTTCTAGACTTCAAACATTCCGATCCAAAAAGGAGAGGTATATACTCTCATCATTTTTATTTTAGCTTTAAAACCAGTGTTTTATGCTGCACTTGATTTATGAAATTTTTAAATCAAACATTATTTTTTACACCAAAGGGAATGGCGGAAAAGTCAATTGTTAAAGATGATATCGAGGATATATGTGAATTTTATCATTTAAATTCAAGCCAAATTTTTGAAGAAATGTTGAAGTTTCGAAATATTTATAAGATGGATAAAACAGGGGAGCAAATATTACTCGTGACCTAGAGGTTAAAGAATCTAAAGTAGATTCTGAGAATTGTGAATTTATTTAATTAAAATATTTATACTAATACATTATTTAGCTTCTTCTTCTGATGATGATGATAATTCTGAGACTTATGATTCAGACTGGAAAAACTATTCTTTTATTTTACCTTAGGATTACTTTTAAATTTTTCTGCTTTCCCTAATTTAACAATTTTATATAAATATTTATTAACCATTCCTACTACCTCATGTACTGCCGAAAGGGTCATGAGTAAAATTAAATTAAAACAAAATTTCGTAGCACCATGAAAGATCCATTTCTTAATAATTTAACCACTTTATCAATGGAAAAAAATTTATTTAAACAATTAAATATTGATGAAATTATAAATTCTTTCGCTTTCTCTTCCCCTAATTTATCTAAATTATTAATTAAAAAAAATTTTTTTAAAGTATATATATTTTTTTACATTTTATTTATATTATGTTTTACAGATTGTTGCAATAAAAATTTTTTTGATTATGGGTGTCAAAAAATAATTAACTATTTTTTCGAGGGGGGTACTTTTCAGGGGGTATTTTGCCATCCCTCAGAAAGTGTTAGGGGCCACTGGGGAGATCCCTTGTGTTACTTTCGGATTAAGAATTCATGAACGAACAAAAATAACAAAAACAAATACATTTTGCCTATATATCTATTGTTTATTAATTAAGGGGTTATCTAATTACAATCAAGCAGACATGTTATCAATGTATCTAGATACAGATTGACCTAAAATATACAATTCAAGATACATTTAAGACACAATTAAAATATCACTTTTTAAAATTGTATTTAAAAGTGTGCATAATGCCATAATTGAAAATTTATTGTTAAAGCTAAAAGAATTGAAAATATTATTTATTCAGTTTGATATCTTATTCAAATATAAAATAAAAATATTATTGTAGGCTTTTATTATTAAACATTTAATTTTTATCACTGAGACCCTTTTAAATACATTTATAATAATGCTCTCCCAACTGGTGCGCTGGATGACAAGTAATGCTATACTTTATGAATAACCTTAATATTTAGATGATCTTTAAATGTAAAATCATCATTCATTTTTAGAATAATGAGTTAAAATTTGATGGGTGCTAAAATTTATATCCTTATTTATATTCTTTTGGGTCCACAATTGTCTCCTTAGATAGTGGGAGCGAATGTTATCAGACTACTGAAATAGTGTATAAAAATTTTAATACTTATTTTACATTGATTAAACATTCCATTTTCCCACATGCTCAATAGTAAACTTACTTCTAAAGGGCTCTTATACAAACTTAGTGATGGGCGGAATAAAAAATGCTTTATGTCACATAAACTAGATCATTCACATCAAAATCTTCAAACCCAACTATTACCAGCAATTGCCACCACCATAAAAAAGATTTCATAGAGAGTGAAATCATTTAAAACATCTTAATAAAACTTTTAATCTATACCAACAATTATTTTCAAAATATACAAAATTGGGATGACCTTTTAACCTTTCATATCCAACTAAAAAGAAACAACGCTCCATTGTAATATGAATTCTCCAGATATAATTATGGAAATTTAATTTAAATATTTAAAAATATCAAATATATTATTTCAATTTAAGAGTATCCACTCTGATGGCGATACCCTATAATTAATTTTCAACTATATTTTTTTTCTCTTATTTTTATTCTTATAAATTTAATATAAAAATAATCAATAATCATAAAAAGTGATCTTTTTAACAATTTCTTTTTTTCAGTGTAATAATAATAATCAGCTCTTTCGAAGTTAATACATCTGTTAAAAGAAATCATTTACATATAAAAATATGTGAATACAACACTTTTCACTTAAATGCCTGTCACATCCTAGCAATAAGAACTTTTCAATAAACTAGCACATTAAAGACAATATATATTTCTATTTTTTAATATTTTTTTCTTTCCCTATATTTTTTACAAATTTTACTTTTAAAGTGGCTTGTACTTTCTACCTGTCTATTTGGCCTTTGTCAGAATTTCTTCCCGTCTTTAATTTGAGGAGATTATTAAAACGCTTGTGAGAGATAGAGATAGTCTATTTGAAACTGTCTGTGATTTATGGAGGAAAAATTTAAGCATTTCATCTCTTCCACAATCCACTGCACAAAAAGACTTTCTTAATTCTCTTCTGGCCGGTTTAAAAAATTGATAGGTATTAATCCCTCTATGAAAGACAATTCCATTCTGAAATATTCAGTAGAAATCTCCAACCATGAATATCCAGAAGCTATTCTTAGTGCTAATCTTGGTCTCTATCTATCAAATAGAGATTTGAGGTA